GCAACTAACTTTAAAGTCGACTTTATTTTGACTATGACTACGGGCCAATGTTTATAACTGCAAAAATTATGAAAAATCTGCAAAGTTTGACCAAACTTACCAACTTTTCTTAGCATATTCATACTCATATTGGTATTCATATTTGTGGCCCATCAAATTTTAGCAAGCAAATTGCAAATTTTAAGTATCTTGGACTTATCGTCGATTTTTGGCACATTTTGTTGGCGGTACTCCGCATTTTTTTCATATAAAAAATTTTTCGAACATAAACTGCCAAAAATCAAGGGTAAGTCCTAGCATCTATAGCCCAAGTGCATTCATTTGACACCTGATTTTCGAAAATTGAAGGAACGGCAGATATTTGATGACATGGACAAAAAATGCCTTTGGGTATTAAATATATTGTTTTTTGGGGATTTTCTTATTTCTTTTTCGCTCTGTAACTTTTTAAGTTTAGTTTATTTAGTTTAGTTTAGTTTATTTAAAAAAACAGCTACAGTATATTATAAAAGTCGCGAGTGTCAGAATTAAAAAAAGAAGTCACGCCACTTTGACTCTTCATAACATCTTTTCTATTCCAAGCATATACTTCTAACGGGCTGCATTCGATTCTCCTCTCCAAATATTACCGGTTCATTATAAACTCAATCATGAGCAATCAACGCACCAAATTGTGCAACGTAAAATAAAAATAAAATATAGGAGAGTCACACTCTTATTTGTTAAAATTTCCCAATGTGATTTCTGAATTATATACATATTTGGCAAGAAAATACGTACCGTGATCTTTTTTTTGCATGTACTTAATCTACACAACATATACTACGTTTATACTTAAGCTATTTGCAAATAAAAATAATTTGCAAATACCTAACTCACTGTTTATTCGTTGGTGAATAATTCTTTTTTAATATTGCCTGATTATAAAAAGGCAATAATATGACCATCGAAAAAGAAAACAAAGTTAAAAATGACAACGTCTTGATTATAAAAAGGCAATAAGATGACCATCGAAAAAGAAAAATAATGGCGGCGTCTTGCGCTTATTTGCAAATAGTACCACTAATCAATAATTTTTTGCGTGATTTAGTTATTTGCAAATAAAAAATTAACTCAGCGTTTATACGGCAAAGTTTACCATTTTGCAAATTGTTACTTGCAAATAATAATAAACGTAGTAATATAATCTTGATAAAGTTATCAGTCAAAATTTTGCCCATGGAGACCACATATTGCTCTTGGCAAGCAATAATTATCAGAACTTTTATATTGATAAATATTGCCAGCAATTTGGTACTTTGAGAGCTACATTTTCATCTGCGCGTCAGCTTCGGGCAGACAACATTATTGATATTTCAATATAAAAGTCAAAATTGAGATGTTTTCTATTGATATATTTTTTATTATTTGCTTGGGTGTGAATAGCATATTTTTTAAATTTTTTAAGTGATTAAATCCGGAAAAAATAGCCATTTTAGCAATGCTTGTGTCTAGATAAAAAATGCCCACACACAAATAAATATTGCCTCTGGAAAATTTTTTATCAGGCAATAAAAATGACAATCGGTAGGCATAAACCTTTGCCTGTGGAGACGGGCCGTAAAATACGACAATCTTTTACACAGGCGACGATTTGTTCGTTGTTTAAAATTAGTTGCGTTCGCGTAGCTGTTAATTAATCAAAGTTAACCACAACTTTCAGGTCTGCTTTTTAATCAAAAAGTTATTTATTGAAACTAACTTATTTTTTGTATCATGGGTAAAATGATTCATTAATAAGCTTTCAAAGGTGTTGTCATGTTGGATTAACTCTTTAGTTACAGAAATTAGTAAAATATTGGTGCTTGTGATGTAAACAAATGATAAGCTGACGAACCCGCTTCTACAAAATTTTTTCTCATAACCTGGTACAAATTAGGTCGGTGTTATGCAGAAATTTTGTTTGGAAAACTGCGTGCAATTGTTGTTGCAGCAAACTCGGAGAGAGCGAGTTTGGCGACTCTCACAGCAAACTAATTTTGTTTGGTCAAACTGCAGCAAATTCGGTGTTGTCACATACAAAAATTTTAGACAATTGTTGATATACACAAAAATTGCCGTGATACCGAAAGCTTGAGAACAGAATTAATGCTGTAGGAGCTTCAAAGATAAGGGCACAGTTAATTGCCTATACGATATCATAAAAATATATTAATTGTGCGCGTTATGTACATCTGAAATTTTTATTTCGTGTTGGCAATGGCCTTGAAAACCATAATGAACGCGCAACCCTCTGCCAAACTCGACATAACCCCCTCCGAGCATACTAAGCAGCCGCCATTTAATTTGGCAAACAAAAGTTTGTCTGCATAACACCAACCTTACCGCAGAACTCCACAGGCAAACACCGATGGCCAACCAACTGTCATTTTGACGAGAAATATGATTGCAAGTTTTTGTGTGTGGGCACTTTGATGTCTTGAAATAAGCATTTGCCGCATGACGCCACCAGACAACATTCTATCAATTTCGGTGTTTAAAAACATTTAAACCTTTAAAAAATTGCTGAATTATTTCCTAAAACGTAATCATAAATAATCTAATAGGGCACAGATTTTTATTTTGATTCAATATCAAAATTTCATCGGTGTTACCACCAGCATGCTTTCTTTCAAATGAAAATATGGCTGTCAAACTATCGAATCGCCTGCAATAGATGTCAAGCAATAAGCGCTGACATATGTTGCAGCCCATGAGAAATAGGCGGTCTCCATTGGGAATATATTTTGTGACATGTTTATCACGACATCAGTGTTTTCCTGTGGAGACAGGGCCTTATGCAGCGTTTTTGCTGCATTTAAAATGCAACATTTAGCACTTTCGAACATATGTTTTCGAAGAGCGTTCATGCTATCGCATTTAGCAAATGTACATTTACGCGAGTTCGAAATCGTATGCTTTTGACAAACAGCCGTGTTCCAGTAGCTTATTCAGATCCGTATCTATTACGATAAATTCTCACGGAAAAGATAATGTCCAAAAATCGCCTACTGAAAAGGAAAAAATAAATTCTAAACCGAAAATTCAATACAAAAACTTGAATTGTTTTAACCATAACCAAACATTTGTTTGTGTATATATTCATTTGTCGGTGCTGTCAATTATAATTTCCACACTTAATTACGAAACAAAACAAACAGAGTTGATCACAAATTAATCCAGATTTCTATCAGCATTATATCGATGTTTAATTTGCGTAACTTTTCTTTATCCAAATAATGTAAAATAATAAATGAAATCTCGATCGGCGATCACTGAAACGCAGCTAGCGACTGTATACTCGAAAAAGCAATGTTGCCACTTCTTCTCATTAAACCATGTTCGAATCGTGGAAATTTTGGAAGATCACAGGGTTGCTTTTAGCATTTAGATTCTAAATGCATAAATGGAGTTGCATTTAGTTGCATTTAGGTGACGAATTTTGTATGGATAAATGTACATTTAGAGCTAAATGCGCTAAATGTGCTTTTTCGCGTAAGCAAAAACAGCTAATTAGGAATGTTCGATATCATTTCGATTATTCTGAATATCGATATTTCATGGTGCTATAATCGATTTTTTCAATCGATATTCCAAAGTCGATATATAGAAGACATCGATACTTTACCCGCAATATCGATATTTAAGTTGAAAATCTTGTTAATTTTATTAGTAGCCTGTAAGAATTGTTTGTTCATAGACTATATCGAGCCTTAAGGCTCTGTTATGCATACTTGGCATTGCATGCACTGCTATACCATTTTTACGTAGAAATCAAAAACCAACAGACTTTTACGTATGTAATGCTGTGCGTTGGGTAACCGCTTACACGCGAAGCTCATTTAACAGATTCCTTATGTGACAACTCTCAAGCAATGCCAAGTATGCATAACAGAGCCTTTAACCGCCAAAATAACGTCAGCGACATTTTTCTCTTCGTTTTGAAGCAGAAATGCATCTAGATGCTCTAGGAATATTTCTGCATCAAAAAGAAAATTTTGAAAAATGTCGCTTTCGTTATTTTGCGGTTAGGGCCCGATGTATTAAATAAATAAGTAGATATAAGTTTTAACAATTTTAGCAACACACAAAAATAGAGCTTTCGCATGAGGGTTTATTTGATTTTTCAACTGCCAAAAGCTAGGCTTGCATTTACTTGCATTTGATTTATGCAAAGAATTTTGACGTTTCAAGCGAAGCAGTCTGCAAAGTTGAACTGTTTAATATATAAATAGGTGCAATCCCGTATTCCTCGGACTAAAACTAGTAAAACTGTCAAAAAGAATTCGCTCAGAGCGAGAGAGTAACATTGAAAAGTACGGGATCGCTTTCTAGTACAAAATGGTAACTTCTGTCAACTTCAACATAACCTCCAAATTTTGGTTGTACATTTTTGCTTATTTTGTATGTAAACACACTCAGCTCACACTTGTAAATAACTAAAAATACTTTCAAATTCACTAGTATCAATTTGAACAAGTAATGAAATACTTTTAAACATGAATTAGCAGAGTGCACTTTTCTTCTGTTTACAATTTGGTTGCCAAACACACTACAGCTGATCGTTTGACAGATTTACCAGCAACAAATTCTCGGACTAAAGCAGCAACTTCTGACAGAGAGAGAACCGTATTATCTCTCTCTTTTGTCTGACTGATTCTGACTATTTCTGACTCGTACGGGAACGCAACTAATATTTGTTAGTTATACAAAAGGGGGATTTCGATGGGATTTTCGTGTGTAAACAGACCGTTACCAATATAAAAATTGCCTCTTTATTGATAAACTTGCCTACAGTATGGCAGCGCTGCCGTCGATTATAAAACGAAAGGAATTAAAATTCGCTCTTGCTAGATTTTTGTCGTAAACGCGGCTTTTTAACAAATAAAGTTCAATAGCCATAGAAACCTGAAATTGGAGACAATAAAATACCATACTATACAATGGCATAATAACAAAAGAGCCAAAAAAGAGCAAATGAAAATTTTTTATTCAGCCATCTTGGCTATTGCGAAAGGTCGTACAAAAGTACATATGTGGCAACATCGAGTGCTATTGGTGTAAAAAATTGGATAAACTTGAATTTAAATAAATTGAGCGAAACAAGTGCAGTAATTGAAAATCGTTTTTTATATATAAGCATATGTACACAAATATGCAAGCATTTTTAAGGTTTTTGTCTATATTTTCAATGTACTATAACTGCACTTACATATATGCATACAAACATAGTACATTACAACAAAGCGAGACCTGCACCTTTTCCACTGATTTTCGTTTATATGCTTTTGTTGTTTTTTGCCATCTGCCTTTCTTTTTAGTGTCAACTTCTGACAGCTGTTCGCTGACTGACCCCACAAGCACACCGTGTGTGTGTGTAGTTGCTGTTTGTGGTTTGTTGTTTTGTCCTTTTTTAGCCTTGCTGCTTGATTG